ATACAAGATTTACAAAAATAAATGGAAAATGAAATCAACACACTATTTTAAAATATAAAATAATTTATTATGACTTAAGAGAGAGAGAAAGATTATCGACATTTACTTACCATGTATATTCAAATTTTTGGTCTACATTTTTAAGTACTCACCAATGAATGGCTAGATCGGGATAGCCGCCATTAAAAACTTCTTATTATTATAAGTCAAGTCAAGAATTCTCAAACATAAACTTTTTTATTTATTATAATGATTATGTTTGATTATGTAACTACTTGTTTCTTTATGAAGAAACTTGCCTTAATTTTTTTCCAATTGGGAAGTTTTTACTTGTATTTTAGGCTTTAGTTGGTAAAGATTGAGATTTGAAGAGATCAGCCAGAGTTTATGATCTGGACATTAGCATATACTCGGTCCCAAATAACTTACGAATTGCAAGGCATTGACATTCGACTTTCAAATAAACAAATGATTGTACCATGTAGCCCTAATCCTAAGAATAAAACTAATTTAGCTTAATTATTGCTTGTCGTTATGGTTATCGTGCTTGTTGAAAAATTTCCAGCAAGGCCATGACTGTGTTAATCACCGTCATACGTGTTTAGTACTAGTATTGAATAAAATTATAAATTGTGCGTTTGATTGTCAATTTTTTTCATGAAAATTGTATTTTTTTTTTTTACTTAAATTCCTACTTTTGTGCTGTTTGATTGTCATTTTTTCATAGAAAATATTTTCTTACTTTTGGTCACGTTTCTATAAGGGCATTTTATAGAAAAATGAATTTTAAAATAGTAGATTGATGGAGAATGTATGGATGAAAAGAATGAAATTTTTTTTATTTGTGTAATATTATTTTAATGAAGAATGTGTGGTTAAAAAGAAAAGAGAGGAAAATATATTTTGATAAAAATGATAATCAAACATGGCAATATATATATATATTTTTTTAAATCAAGAAAAATATTTTCATTAGAAGGAGTATGATTGTTTTCCAGGAAATTCACTCTCTCTTTCTCTCTCTCATCTATCTACTTTTTCTCATCTACCTACCAATAAAAAATGAACAAGTACAATATATTCTAAATTAAAAATTAAATCAATCAAACATATTTAGATCCCGTTTGATTATCATTTTTAACAAAAATATATTTTCTTTTATCTTCCTTTTAATCATACATTCTTCATTAAAATAATACTAGACATAAATCTAAAACTCTTCTTTATTTTTCATCTACACATTCTCCATCAATTTACTATTGTAAAATTCATTTTTCTATACAAGTGAGTGTCAAACACCTTTTAATTGACAAATTTCATACAAATAAATTCTAAGTAATTTATTTTCTTTCAATGCAAATTTCATATTTGGAATTAATCGCACCGTAAATAATAATAGATAAAAGTTAAGATTTTTCTTGTTTCTTTTTAGTTTTTCAATTCAAAATTGCCTGCAGATGGATGGCTCATCTGACAGTACAAACCATTTTAGTTAAGTACATGATAAATAAACGTATAACAAAAATTCGGCCCTTGTCAATTTTAATGGATGACTAGTATTAGACATGGAAATTGAGAAAACATTCCAAGATAACTCTATTCAATTCAACATAACCAAACCCTAATTAGACAGTTTAACTAAATTATAAAACACCCCCCATGAAACAAAGAAAATTTTAAAATGGGCATTCCCAAGACAGCAAAGGCGAAGGCCTAGGTAGAGTTGGAGTTTGCTCACTAGTTCTACTTTTACTTGAAACACAATTTTATTCTCGGAAAAACCTTACTCCATGGATCCAAACTAGGTTAAAGTTGTCAGAGTCATCCTTGAACCTTTTGAGCCTCTGAATAACCTATTCGACCTCGTAAGTTCCCACTCCTTACATATAGTGGTGTCAAACGAGTAGGGCTCACCTATACAACTAGGGACTAGATACCACCCGAACAGCGGTCCATCTCAACAAGTGTTTTTTGCAAGGGCCTTCATGGCATTCATTTCTCTCCTTCTCTTCGAATGTAAATAATGTCAACAAAAACTCATGTCCTCAAGCACATGAATGGCCTACATGACATTCATGTTAGGTGAAGATTTTGTATACAGAACTAAAAAAGTTGAATGTTGCAATAGTACATAAAACATGCTAACCACATATTGCATGCCTCTATAAAATATTTTTCAATGGAATAAAGAACTCTAAATTCATGAGCCATATACATCATCTTTCCAACAACTTTGAACCAATTCTTACAGTGCATATTTAGTACAAAATATTCAAATCCAACAAACCTATAACTAAATGTTTTAAACATGGCAGGACATGCACTTAATGGTAAATAATCGTTATATATTTCTTCTGCGATTGCATGGGACTACCTGCTAACTAAGCTTTGACAGTCCATTCGAGACCAAAGAAGAAGAAGAATGTGTCAAAATGTAATTATAGACTTCCACAAAAGAATGCAATCTAGGTGAAGAGATAATGACAACAGCCTGAACGTCAGAACAAGAAAACATAGGTACCAAATCTTGACAAAAATGTCAGCACCCATAAAGTAGCATCTGATTCGTGAGGAATAAGCCTATTCGAACAAAAACAAAGATTGAGTCATGTAAAACAACATCATCCGACTAAGCCTTTGCTACATTAATCAAATTGAGTCATTCCACTTCGTTCTTGCCAGATGTACTACGATAGTTTAAAAACTAGATACTGAACAGACCAAGTTAATATTTGTCTACCCTCCTTTCCCTTTTCTATCTTGCTCTACCGGAATAACAGCTTTTTTATGAACCCCCTCTAGTCAACCCAAAACATGCCCAAGCACCTAAGTCATCTTTTTCTTAATTTATCCTCAACGCGCCACCTCCACTTCTTGCTCTCCATTTTAGCATGACCACACATCCATCTTATCATCCTAATCTCTGCTATTCATCTTATGGACTTCTTGTCCTTTAACATCCAAGTCATATACAATTTAATAAATGGCAGATTATATGACACAACATAGACCTGCAGTGTCAAGATTAATGAACTCAGAAAATCCTTTTAGCTACTTTCACATTTCTTCATTTCATTATTTACGAAAAAGTAATTTTTCAAAAAAAAAAAAAAAAAAAAAAAACTTTGTTGCCTTCCTCATATAATACAATAAACAAACTGGATTGTGTAACTTCACTCAAAAACCGCTTTCCAGCATCAATGATCAGTACCAATAAATAGGATAGAATGGAAGAAAGAACACCATTCACTATCTAAAAATAAGCAAATCAAACGAACAAGTGTGTCTATCATGACATGTATCAGATACGTTGACACGCGATTTTTCAAAAAGGTACTAACACATTGATTAAATTTTTAAAAAATTTTCATTTATATAACTAGTTTTATGCTTGTTAGTAATTTTTCTTGTTTAAATATAAGTACCTATTTGTTATTTATCATTAACTTTGAGTTCAAAATATATAATATTTCTAATAAAAAAGAATAATGTTTATGGTAAAGTGTCCGGGTCAGTATACGACACGTGTTCAACACGTACCAGACACAGACAGACTACCCTAATTGAAATGTTCATGCAACAAAAATGAAACATGAAATTGTGTATGGAATCATTCAATCATAAACAACAACCATAAAGGGATAGTGGATTATGTTGCCAACCTTGAATATTCCACATCAGGAATTGAGACGGGCAAATTTAAGCAGTGAATAAGAAGGGGGGAAAAACTCATTTGCCACGACCCTTTAAGCTTATGTCATTATGACTCCTATTAACGTCGCTATGTTAGATAAAGAGCTTACCTAAAACAAACATGCAAATGAAGTTAATGCTAGCAAATGTGAAAGCTGAGCATCTCTAGATATTTGAGATGTGCTGAAAAAAGTGTCTAAAAACAGCCTCTAATACATATAGCCAAATAATGAAATAATTACCACTGTATGCAGAAGGTTCTGTCAATTCATATGTTCCCATATATAATATAAATTTTCAGGCAAGCTACATATCAATGCTGTTTTAGATCAAAGGGTGCTGTCCTAGTGTTTATATCAACTCACCTGCAAGTAATGCAAGTGAGAATCTCTTAGGAAGGGAGTTTAGGTGGGAGGAGGGGGGCCAGGCCCCAATCATGTTGCTCATGACCAAAAAGAACAGAATGCAGAGTAGTTGTGAGCCACAGATGGAACATACTCTCTCTTTAAAATGCACATCCAATGTTGCATACAATAAATATTTCTCAAACGATACAGCATGCCTGAATCACAAACATACCCTCACTTAGATTGGTTAAAATTTGCTAAGATAGAGAGTGGAATGTGTCTTTTAAATTGCCTTAAAAAGAATTTTTAATTTTGATTAAGATGATTTTCATGCATAATATTTGCATTACTTTGTGGAACCTCTCAACTGAGTGAACAATTTTATCTGCATGTCAATACCCACAGACAAGTGAAAATTTATGAAGGTCACCAAGTTAGTCTCTAGAGTCACAGCTGCAATTACGTTGTATCAGTTTGGTAGGATGTTATCTACAGAGGAAGTTTGAGTGCTAATAATACTTCTTATTTCATTCACAAAGTTAAGAACTAATAATATTATTAATTAGTGAATCAGATAAACATATTACCCAGAATCTTTATAGCTTTTACATGTTAGGATATTTAGGTACTATGGGCCCATCATGGTAGAAAAATGTCTTAATTGATGAAGCATACTGAATGTGTTAACAATTGTTAGATTGCATGGACATTTGCTTGTCCATTGCGACGTGCATTTTTACTACATTCAGGAGCCTCCTCTCATTGAGAGTTACCCACAAAAGATAAAAACATATAAAATACCTATATCATAAAAGCAATAGTAAAATTGGAATAGAAAAAAATGCCTATAGTGCCAACAAGAAAGAAGGTAGAAAGAACAACTCTCGAGTTACATAACAAGATAGGTATGCAAACACAATCATCAATTTTGAATGCAAAAGATTGTGCTTTGCTAGGAAGTTATAGCAAAATAGTGCTCTTTTAATTTAAAAATTCAGTAATTATAAGATACAGACATACTCACCCAAATTCAAAGATCCAAGAAACATTGACGCAGTGACCTCACGAATAAACTCATTGACACACAGAGGAATCAATCATTGGAAAAATGGTCAAACATTGCTAAGATTTAAGAACATAACCGATGACAATATGCCATAACAAAGTGAGTTTCACAGGTACTCCATTAAGTTTCAACGTGCACTTTACTAACCCAAATTTTTTTAAGGGGATCTTATCTAAATGACCACTCTAGTTTGCTGCACTTTAGCCTTCTCAGCATCAATAATAGACTCCACCAGCTTTACTGAGCTCTCCAACTCACCTTCCTTGTTTACAACCACATAATCGAACTCTTTCAAATGCCTCACCTCTTCCCTAGCTGTTGCCACCCTCATGAGCAGAGTCTCCTTCGTTTCTGTCTTCCTATCAATCAATCTCTTTACCAATGCCTCCTCACTCTCTGCCACTAAAAACACGAAAATCGCACTCTTTCTCAAGATCCTTCTCAACGTTATGGCACCCTGTATATCCACTCTCAACACAATGTCACACCCTTTCTCCACGTACTGCCTAATCTGCTGCTTTGGTATCCCCTTATAATCACCATACACCAATGCATACTCCAAGAGCTCGTTTTTCTGGATCATGGACAAAAATTTCTCTTTACTCACAAAAAAGTAGTCTTTTCCGTCAACTTCTCCAGGCCTTTTAGCCCGGCTAGTTGCTGTAACCACAAAATGCAAATTTTCTCTAACTTCTCTCAATCTTTTGATCACAGCATCTTTGCCAACACCACTGGGTCCACTTATCACAATAATCAAAGGTCCAGGGTTCGGGACTATGGGCTGAGAGCTAAATTGCGAGCCCAAAGAGGCCTCCAGGGCCCTGAATACCTCGGCCGGTTCGGCAGTTTCCGGGGGTGGAATGGGGACGACTGGGGGCCTCCTAGGATCATCCATAGTGGGACTAGCAGCGTTTTCGGACTCCAAATTGTGCGAATTCACTGACAACCGCCTCCGAAAACTTAGTTTCACGGATTCACAATTCGATATAAATTCTGGGTTTGAGTTTAAACTAGCCAAAGGGTTTATCAATTTTGGAGAAAGAAAAAAAGGGTAGTCGCGAGATTTCGATAAAGTGACGCATAGCCTTCGGAATAGCATCGAATATATTCGCGTATACTAGAATTGAAATGTTTTTTCTGTGAGAAATTTTGACGTGGGAATCAAGAAAAAGTAGACCTATTTCCCTGAGAATTCGAGATAATTTTTTATTCTGTATTATCAGATTTAGGGTTCATCCTTTTTCTTCCCCGAAATTTTCAGTTTTGGGATTTTTCATTTTTTTTTTTCCATAATTTCAGTAATTTGGTTTTGATTTTTGAGCTCCAGGTTTTTGGGCCACGATTTGTTGGGCTTGATCTTTAGTGCAGAAGCGTTGGATTAAATGAAAATAGAAAATTGACGCAAATAACACGAATTGGTTACATATAATAAATTCAGCAATTTATAAAGAACGCTACCATTATGAAATTTTGGGCTATGAGAATCCCACAACTCGCGTGCTTTCTTCGATTTGATTGACATTAACTGCAGAATGACTCCAAGGAAGCAGTACGTGTGAAGGTAAAGGACTAGCATATCCTTCTTGATGTGGATACTTTGTGAACAACTTGTCAAACATTTTTCATATTTCTTGAAAAATCTCCAATTCAAAAAATAACGAGGGAGTACAAGTCGAGGATTTAAATTAATTGTCCATAATGAAATTAGTGGTAAATACTTCCTAATTCCCATATTACTCACCTGCGCCTAAAATGATTGGTATGTGTCGAGAATGAAGATAAGAACTATGACCAGAAAAAATGTCTTAATTCTTGAAAGATCTCTTAAGGTGAGAACTAAGATGCACAAACACCCAATCATCTTCCATACAAAAACATGAAGTCAAAATTTTATGTTAAGCTTTCAATTAGATGTCCCTACATTTAAAACT